ACGGATGGTAGTAACTATCATTATACTGAAAATAATATTAGTAAGAAAAATAGAAGGGATCATGTGAAGGTAATAGTAATATGAATAGTTAAGACAATAATAATAGCATTAGCAGCAAAGAGCATTGCAATGGTAACGGCAGCGCTGAGATGCCTAACGATAGAAATAGTAGTAATCGTAACTGGGATAAGATCACAACAAAGAATAACGCTATGCATATACCTTTGGATTAAACGCAACAAACGAATCCTTGGCAGAACAGAACCGCACAAGTCATCTAATGGGGGACTCTTGCTGCTGCTGCTCCCGCCGCTGCGTTAGTTCTGCGGTTCGTGTTGCCCCTGTTTCGGCTTGTGGTGTTCCTGGAGCTGTTGCTCTCGTCGCTGCTGGAATTCGTATTGCTGTTCTTTCTGCTGCTTCTGTTGCTGTACGAAGGCCGAGCTAGCTGCAATGAGGAGGGACATTCATCGCATGGAGTTGCGGGAGGCGCAGCTAAAGAAGATGCAGCAGCATCTTCTTAAAGAATTAAAACAGGTGCTGCTCTGTGGGCCTTTTGCAACAGCAACAACATTCGCCAGTAACGAGAGTAGCAGCAGATGCAACAGTAGCAGCAGCAGCAGCACAAGCAGTAGAAGCAAAAAAGCTGCAGTAGTGGTGTCAGTCACAAAACTGCAGCATCAGCAAAGGCAGAATCAGAATCAACCGACATCAGTTCTTCGCGGCGTTGATCCAGCGGCTACTTCGGTTGGAGTAGTGCTGCACGTTTTATTGCTGCGGCGCTGTAACCATCTGCGAACATGCCGCTGCTGCTGTCAATCCGGTGCTTCTGCAGCTGCTGCTGCAGAAGCAGCCGCTCGGGCTGTTTGGGTTGCACCCGCAGCAGTTGATCCTTGCAGTTATCTCTGTCAATTCAGTGTAGCCCTAGCACGTTGTGCACTTGCTGCTACCTCTGAGGCTTCTGCTGCAAGCTGTTGTCGTTGCTGCCGCTGGTGGTGGTGGTGCTGCTGCTGCTGTCGCGGCTGCTGCTGCCGCTGCTGCAGGTTCTTTCAAAACGCGATTTAATTCAAACGCGCCACGGGCCGAAGAGCGGGACGGCGCAGGAGACGCACAAGAAGGTTGTGCTGCAGCGGCAGATTAGCACACTAGACAGCAAGCTGAGGGAAGCAGAAGGTAACACCCTCATCGCCCCTTTACACTGTTTCCTTATACAAGCTACACGCATTACGCATATTGCCTCTCTCGTGTGTCTCCCGTTGTCTCCCGTGGCTCTGTGTCGAATGCCGTGCGGAGTTGGCCCTACCCGCTTTTCTTTGCTCTCCACTGCCTCGTGGGCTCAGGTGTTAGGGTGTAGAGTTAAGGGTTTAGGAATTACGGTTGCTGTCTTTTCTCTCTGTTTTTCCCCGTCTCACTCCTCGTATGAGAGAAATTGCCTGGCTCTTCTACATTCTCTCTTCTGTTGTAGACAACAGATATCAAGCCAAGTAACGCTTAAACAAATGCATGAAAACAAAAAAGAAAATCTCTCCGGAAATGTCTTCTCACTGCACTGCATGCGTTGCTTTGTCTCCTGCAGGATTTGTCGCATAGTTTGTTTGATGCTTCAGTTGTTTATCTGTCAGTTTTTGGTACTGCCTGTTTATCGTCCTGCCATCTGGTTTCTTCGTTTGTTATTACATTTCATCCTTTGTTCACTTGCGTGGATCCTCTAACAGAAAAAGCAAACAAAACAGAAAACGAATTAGAGGAGTCGACGAGAGCATTTACAGAGGTTTGCCTCAAAATCCAAAGCCCTAGGCCCTAAACCCTAAACCTTGGGCCCGAAACTCTCAACCGTGAACCCTCTTGGAGACGTGGCTGCGGAAGCAAGCGTGGGATTAAAGCCACGCTTGCTTCCGCAGCCCTGACCACTTTCACGCATTTTAAAACACTTGTTTGTCTTTCTATCTATTTATGTTTGACGCTCAAGACACATACTGCTGTTTGCTTATAACTGTGGTAAATATACTGACGGTATATATATTATGCACGCTGTTTGATGTACGCGCACATTCTATCTAAAAATGCTTCTTGGGCTTTTTTGCATTTATATGTTTTAGCTTCTGCATTGGCTGTCTTCTTTCAGGTGGAAAGTGCAGTGGCAAAATTGAAGAAGGAGATAGAAGAAAAGGAAAACGAGATCAGGACGACAGAAAAAAGATTAGAAAAAGAAGAAGGCAAGCAAGCAAACAAGCAAACAAACAAACGAACAAGCAACGCCCTCAGCATTCGCTAGGACAGTCTTCTTTTTTCTGTTCATTTTGCTTTCATTAGCACTGATGAAACGTCCTTGTGTGCACTCATTGCTTCCCACTGAAGCTCCTAATTTTCCTGTGTTTGTTGGATTGCGTGGCTGTGAACCCCAGTCCCTAGCCAATTTGTCTCTCATTCTCACTGCCTCATCCTATACCCCTCATGGGCAGATGCACTGACTTGAGGCCCTTCAGGCGTTTGCAAGTCCCTTTATCTGTCTTCGGGTGTTTCTGCAGTCTGTTTGGCATTTGAAAAAGCGTGTCTTGTCCACCTGCAACGACTAACAAAAGACTTGGAGTCACTAACTGATGAGGACCTGAAAACCCCGCTGAAGGTGATTTATATGCATATATATTTAATTGTTCATCTGCTAACTTGTTCATTTGTTTGTTTATTTATAGGCTTCTTTGTCCGTTTTCACGCTTGCTTACCTATTACTACTTATTTGTTTGTTTAATGATCCCTTCTTCCCTCAATTTGTTTATTTGGCTGTCTCTTTGTTTTCTTGCTTGTTGTGTGTTCACTTGTTCATAATATTCTCCATTTGTTTGTCTGTTCACTTGCCCACTTGTTTTATTCTTCTACTTCGAAGTGCTTAAATATATCAATCTGTCTCTAGAGAAGATAGAAAACATCTTCAGTGTGTAGCTACATACTGATTTTTGTGGTTGTTTGTCTTTGCACATCTCCATGTCTTTTAGTGCATTTCTGTAATTCGTTTATTCCTGTATTCTTAAACGCACAAGGGCAATATATTACAATAAGTCAGACATTTTCCTTCTTTTCACGCAAACGCTAAACCCTGAACCCTAAACCGTAGATCTGATATCGTTTTCTAGGTTTTGCTGAGACGGCGTATGGGTGCAACGGTGCAACAATGTTTCTATCACATACAACGCACATAAACCTGTATTTGTTTTTCTTGCCATTCATAATAATATTAGTAATAATAGTAATATCGGTAATGATATCAACTGTTATTATGATTATTGCAACCATACTTTTCTTCTTTTGGTTTGGTTATTCCTGTCTGCTACTGCACAGCCTTCGGCGAAGTTGGCGTTGCACAAAGTGCAGAATGAAGCGGCAAGCCTCGCTGAAGCCCTCTGCGAGGTGGAGCAGGTAACCCCTAAACCCTAAACCCTATACACTAAAAGTGAAGGCTCCCTGAAGGCTTGCCGTTGCGTTGCTTGCTCTGCGTCCGTAAAGAGAAGTTGAAGAGCCGTGAGGAATGATATTGAATACTATTGATTAATCTTAATTAATAATGCATATGCGCTGTATGCATGCATGCATGTATGCGCAGGAAGTCCCGTCCCTCCAGGGGGCATTGGAGTTGTTTAAAAAATGGGCAGTGCATTTAGTCAGCGCAAACGACACTTATAAACTGCAGCCTGAAGCGCTTCGATCCTCGGAATAAGCAAGAGCGAGAGCAGCAAAACGTCTTGCTGCTGCTGCTGCGGCACTGCAGCAGTTTGGCTGCGTTTGCAAATACAGACTTTCCGTCGCAAGGAACAACCGAAAATGAAATAAAATGCAACGACTGCAACGAATAAAACCCTAAACCCCGGACCCTAAACCCTAGGCCTTTGACCCGACGCCTGAGACTCTGCACAAATAAACAAAGCCAGCGAACAAACACAAAAACCAGGAGACATAAAATAGCGAAGCAGCGAGCAGCAGAAAATGGAAGACAGAGAAAAACATCTAGCGTTAACAAAACTATACTTATTGTTTCCTTGCACAAGAAAAACAACAAGTCGACAGGAAGGAGATTTATTCCTTACTAAACTGAAACGTAAACCCTTAACCCCAAACCCTAAAACCCTCTACAATTTATGGGGCATCAAGAGGGCCATTGTATCGACCCCGAAACCGTATCAAAAGCCCTACACACAAAACCCTAAACCCTAACTCCTAATCCCGTACCCCTTAGACCTAAACCGTAAACCCTAAACGCTAAGCCTTCACTGAGTTTCAAGGGAAATTGCAGGTGATTAGGCAAATGAACATCCTTGTGCTGAAGTGACAGTCGGTGGCAGATGTAGAAGGAGGAAGAAGCGTTGGTAATATCTTTTTGTTTTTCTCCTTAAAAAAGACAAAAAATCAATTGAATTAACAGAAGTGAATCCTCTCTTATTCTTTATTCCCCAATCTATTTCTACGTTTCACCGCCGACTGCAGCAGCAGCAGCAGCAGCAGCTGGGGGCCCCATAGCCTTGTGGAGCCCTCGATTATTCCTCATCTATTCAGGTTAAACCTTTTTCGTGACTCCTTTAGGAGATTTCAACTCAATAAAAACAGCAGAGACTAGTACTTCAGCAGCAGCAGCAGCAACAACAACAACAGAGCGAGCAGCGGCAGTGACCGCATCAGGAGCAGCAGCAGCAGCAACAGCAGCATCATATGCAGCAGCATCACCCGCAGCAGCATCAGCAATAGCACAGGCAAGAGGAGCGGCAACAACAGCAACAGCAACAGCCGCTCGGATTCCCTACTTTGTGTTGAGCGAACACCCACGGGGTGCCCTGGGGGCCCCCCGCCCCGGGGGCCCCCAGCTTGCGAAAATTCTCCGTTGTGTTTTCTCCTCACCAACCTGAGGGCCCTCAAGGGGCCCTCGGGGGCCCCCTTCCCGCGTTGTTGCTGCTGCTGCTGCTGTAGCTGCTGCTGCTGCTGCAGGGATGCAGGGGCCGCCCCTACAACGGGCCCTTATGGGCCTCGCCGCAGCTCGCAGCGTCGCCGACTATAGGAGGGAGACGCAGCAGGTCTTAGATGCACTGGACAGCAGCAGCAGCACCAGCTGCTGCTACAGCGACGGCGATGCGGTGTGGAGCGTCTCGCTGCTGGTGTCGGTGCAGCAGACTGCTGCTGCAGCTGCGCTGCAGCAGCTGCTGCGGTGCCTGCCTTCATTACAGCAGCAGCAACGAAAGGGCCCCGCAGGCCTATCAGCGAAAGACGGTCTACTGCTGCTGTCTGTTGTAAGCAGAGCAGACAATTTGCTTGGGGCCTCATTTCAAGGCAGTGTTCATGAAGAAGAGATTGCTGCTGCCGCGCAGCATTTAGATGGAGCAGTGGAAGCTGTATTGTTGCTGCTGCAGCACGTCAGCAGCAGCAGCAGGACACGCCTGCTGCTCGAGCAGCAACAGCAGCAGCAGCAGCATACAGCAACCAAAGGGGCTCATGCTGCTGCAGCAGCAGCAGAATGGGAAAAGAGCTGCACCAGAGTGTTGCAGCTGCTGCTCAAACATTCCAAAGTTGTCGATAGACTCCCACAGACAAGAAAAAGTAGGCCTTCTTGCTGCTGCTGTTGGTGGTTGCTGCTGCTGATGCTGTTGGTGCTGCCGTTATTGCTGCTGCTACGTTCTCTGGTGCTGCTTTTGGGGATGCTGCTGCTGCTGTTGCTGCGTCTACTGCCGCTGCTGTTTCTTTAACTGCGGTTGTCATTGGTGCTTCCTGTGCTGCTGCTGCTCTTCTTCTATGCCCTTGTCACAGCAGCTCTTCCTGCTGCTATCATTTCCATGCTGCTGTTACTGTTGGTGTTGTTGTTGCTGCTGCTGCTGCAGATGTATTGTGGCAGTTGCTGGTGGGGTTGGAGTTGGGAGCGCCGGAGAAGAGTGCAGCGATTGCTGCTGCTTTGTGTTTGCTGCCTTCTTTTAAGGCTGCGGTGTCTCGGAACTTGAGGGGCACGCTGCTGCTGCTACTGCTGCGGCTGCGGTGCTGCTGCTGCTGCGAAGAGCTCCCCAAAGGCAGCAGGTTGCTGCTGGTGGAGAGGTTGCTGCTGCTCCTGTCGCGCCTGGCATTGAGGTTTCCCCTTGCATTCCGCAGCCAACTCTTCCTGTTCCACGTACCGCAGCAGCAGCAGCAGCAGCAAGAGCAGACGCAGCAGCAGCAGCAGCAGCCGCACCAGCGGCAAGGGGGCGGGGAGAATGCGCAGCAGCATTTGCTTATGCGGGAGACGCAGAGTTTGTCTTTGAGGTGGCTGCAAACACAAGCACCACAGCAGCTGCTGCAGCGGAAAGAACAGCAGGAGCACCAGCAGCAGCAACAACCGCAGCAGCAACAGCAGCAGCAACAGGAGGAGACTGGGGGCCTTTGGCTTCAGCCTGTAATAGATGCAGCCTTCCCAAAACCCACCAACGACCGTCAGCAGCTGCAGCAGCAAGCGCAGGAGCAGCAACAGCAGCAGCAGATGGGTTGCATAACAACAGCCGCGGTTGCGGAAGCAGCGGCAGCAGCAACAGCAGCAGCCGAGTGGGAGCCGCTAGTGCTGGTGGTGCTGCAGAGCCTCTACCGCCCTGACTTGCTGCGGCAGCTAGGCCTTGAAAGCCGCGAGAGTTTGCTGCTGCTGTCGCGGTTGCTGCTGAAGTGTCTCAGGGGGCCCTCAGTCTTCGCCCCTGCTGCAGCAAGACGCCTCAGTGAGTTTGCTGCAGCAGCAGCAGCAGCAGTAGCTGCTGCTGCTGCTAGTACTAATGCAAGCAAACGCATACCAGCAGCAAGTGCAACGGCGCATCCTGCTCTTGCTGCTTATTTTGTTGCAGCTGCAAGACCTTGAACCTCATTGCTGTTGCAAGTGCTACTGCTGCGAATCTGCTGCTGCTGCTGCTGTTCTGAATATGCTGCTGCTGCGGTCTGTATTGGTTGCTTGTGTTGCTTCTGCTGCTGCTGCAGGGCCATTTCGTGATTTGCTGCGGAGCTTGATAACAGCCACTCCCTCTCTCATTGCACAAGAAGCAGAATCTGCCAAGGCGCCTCAGCAGCAACTGTGCTGCTTCCGCGGCCGCCTGGGTGTTTCTGCTGCTGCTGCACTGTCTCCGTCTCTGTCTTCTCTCGGAATGCAAGGAGAACCTTTCTTCTTGTAAACTCTAAACCCTCAGCCGGCCCCTCAAGACCTCCAAATCTAGCGCTTAGGGTTCATAATTATTAGCCTGTAGAGCTATTGATTAGGGTTTAGGGTTTAGGGTCAGGGCGTACGGCGTAGGATTAGGGTTTAGTGTTTGTGGATAAGGATTAAGGTTTAGGGTTAAACATTAGGGTGCAAGGCTTTGGATTGAAGTTTGGAGTTTAGGGTTTAGGGTTTGGGGCATAGGACTAGGATTTAGGGTTGCGGATTGGCGAATAGAGTTTAGAGTTTAGGGTTTAGGGTTTAGGGGCTTTTGTTCTGCTGCAGGCTGCTGACGCGGGGCAGTTGGCTGCGACGCATAGCGCAGGCCGATTTGGTTGCGGAGGCGTTGTGGGAGGGAATGTTCCTCGATCCTCCCCTGCTGCAGCAGCAAGTGCAGCAGCCGCAGCAGCAAGTGCAGCAGCCGCAGCAGCAAGTGCAGCAGCAGCAGCAGCAAGCGCAGCAGCAGCCGAAGCACCCCCTGGAGTCACAGCAACAGCAGCAAGGCTGCACGCGCTGCGGTGCGTATTTCAGCATAAACCCAGGCCATCCAGCTGCCGTCTGCATCTGCAGCAGCAGCAGCAGCAACCCGAAGCAGCACGATCCGCTCCCCGGGACTTCGGTAAAGGGCGCCTTTCTCTGCCCCCCCAAGGCGACGAAAAGATGCAGCTGCGTCGACCCAGCAGCAGCAGCAGCGGCGGCGGCACCAGCAACAGCAGAACGGACAGAAAGAGCAGCAGCAGCCGCAACACCAGCAGCTGCAGCCCCTCCTCCAAGGGGCTTGCTACTGCAGTGCGGGGCCGTCATAGGGAGTTTTCTGCTGCACAAAATTCAACTAAGGCCCGAGCATACACCGCCGGCTAACTACGGCTTTTGGTGAGCTGCTGCTGCTCCTGGCTGCTGCAGCTGATGCTGCTTCTGCTCTTGCTCGTACTGCTGCTGGTGCTGCTGCTGCTGCCGCTCCTCAGCCATAGTGTATGCTGTGTGTACACCACGCTCTATCCGTCGCAAGCGAATGCGTGCTGTAGCTATCTGCTGCAGCCAGCCACAGTTGCTAACTGCTGTCGCTAGCTGCTGCAGATAGCTGCTGCAGACCTCTGCTGTAGCTAGCTGCTGTCGCTAGCTGTGGCTAGCTGGGGTGCTGCTGCGTGCGCAGGTGTTTGGTGTTGGTACGGTTTTGCGAAGTGTATGGGTGGGCTTTGCCGCGAGAGACGCAGCAGCAGCTGTTTGCTGCAGCAGAAGCAGCACTAACGACAATCATCAGGGAAGAAGCAGCCAAAGGAGGAACTGCAGCAGCAGCAGCAGTTGCTGCTGTTGCTGCTGCTGCAGACCCCACAGCCTCCCTTACCAGGCAGGCCTGCCTCATGCAAGTCCTCACTGCTCTGCTGCAAATACCCGTACACCGCATGCTGCAGCAGCAGCAGCTGCTGCTGCAACAGCAGCATGAAGGGCAGCAGCAGCACACGCTAGCCCCCTCTGAACTCGGGACCTTCTCAGAAAAGAGCAACAACAGCAGCAACAGCAGCATCACCAGCAGGAGAAGCATTGTTGCTGCTTGGGAGCGGGCTCTTTCTGAGGAGGAGACTTCACAGAGCTGCTGCGGCTTCGGTTTGTCTCTCCTCTCTAGTCAGCTGGTGTCTTGCAGCCCAGCTATCTCCTGCCTCAGGTAGCTGCTGCTGCTGTTGCTGGTGCTGCCGGTGGTGCTACTGGTGTTGCTGCTGATTCTAATATAATGCCGCTGCTCCAGTAGCTGCTGCTGCTCGTGCTGGTGTGGCGCATGCTGTTGTTAGGGTGCTGCAGGCGCTCCCGCTGCTTCTGCTGTTGCTGTTGCTCGTAGATGCAGCATTTGTTTTTCTTTCCGCTGCTGTTGTGCTGCTGCTGTTGCAGCTGCACCGCAGGGACCGTTCAATTATGTGCGGCTCTTCGTAAAGAGGGAACGCATGCAAATGAGGATTTGCTGCTGCGGCTCCTGGAGCATGCAGATCGATTTGCTGCAGCGGTGCAGCAACAGCAGCAGCAGCAGCTGCAGACAGCCCGCTTCATGCTGCTTCCTGCGTCGTTGCTGGTTCCTTCGTATCTGCTGCTGATGCAACAGCTGCTGCTACTGCTGCCTCGCCAGGCGACCCGAAGAGGCGTGCGGCTGCTGTTCGAGCCTCCCTTTTTAGGCCGCAGTTTGATGCTGCCAGCAGCAGCAGCAACTGCAGCAACAGTGAGGGGGGGAGGCGCAGGAACAGCTCGTGTCTTGGATTCAGGGTTTTGGTTGCTGGAAGTGTTTGCTGCTGCTTTGCTGCTGCACAAGGAGAACATTGCTGCTGCTAAAGCAGATGAGTTGTTTGTCTCTCTTTTTGCTGCTGCGGCGGGTTCGTGGAGGAGACACAAAGAGGGTTTTCCTGGCTTGCGAACCCGCATGCAGAGGCAGCAGCAAACTGTCACCTCGCTGCCTGCTGCTGCTGCGTTGTTGCTGCAGCTGCTGCGCTGCTACGCTGGGGAGACCCTGCGGGAATACTGGGGGCCCCTGCTGCAGCAGAGCAGCCAGCAGCAGTGTCTCCTCAGCATATGGAAGGGGAATCTCTGCACAGCAACAGTGACAGCAGCAACAAGTGCAGCAGCAACTGCAACAGGAGCGGCAGCAGCAGGTGCTGCAGCAAGAGCTGCGGACAACCCGCTGCAGGTTCCTCTCGACCCCAGATGCCTAGGCGAAGGCCATCTGCATGCATTTCTTGCTGCAGCAGCGTATACAGCTCAGGGCCCGCGATCTCTCGCTGCTGCATTGCTGCTGCTCTCGGCAAGCTGCGGAGACCCTGCGGCAACAGCAACAGCAGCAGCAGCAGCAGCGCATCAACTGTCCTTTAGGGGAGACGAGGAGACAGCAAAACATCTAAAAACCCTCCTGGACTGCAGCAGACAAGAAGCACCTTTATCCCAGGAGCTGCAGCTACACTACATTGATGGTTTGCTGCTGCTGAAGCCTGTGCTGCTGTCTCATCTTCCTGTTGCTGCCTTCTTTGACGGGCCTCCCCTGCTGCGCGTAGCTGCAGTGCCTGCTGCCGCTGCGCAGGCCGCGGATACAGATGCAGCAGCAACAGCGGCAGCAGCAACAACGGAGTTGCCGCTGCTGCAGCTGCAGCCTCTCGCCTGCGGAACAGCCGCTCTGGCTGCGCTGCAGCAACGCCCCGCCTTGCTGCAGTGTATATACAGCTTCCATTACGATAGCAGCGTACACCTCGTTGGTGCGCTTGCTGCTGCAGGCGACAGAGCGGCGGCAGCAGCAACAGCTGCAGCGACAGAAGCACCACACGGCGCCCCCTTCTCTATCATTCCCCCATTCAACCTGACTGCTCCTGCTCCTGCTGCTGGCAGCAGCAGCAGCAGGAGCAGCAGCAGAGGAAGCTTTATGCACCTGCAATGGATGGAGGAGGCCTGCTGCTTCTTGACGAGCCTTAAGCTTGCTGCTGCTGTGCTGCCGCTGCATGCATGGGTTTTGCCTTCTCACTGGAGTGTATGTGCAGCATCGACAGAAGTGTGGGTCCCCGGAAGGCCCTGCTCTCTCGGATGTGCTTCTTGGTTCGCCTTTCTTTGCCTTATTAAGGCAGCAAAGGAGGCGCTGCAGCGAGAACAGCAGCAGCAGCAGCAGCGGCAGGAGGGTCCGCAGCCGTCGCCAGAGAGAAGCAAAGCAGCAGCAACAGCAGCTACTGCTGCTACGGCAACAACGTCCGCAACTGCAGCAGCAGATGACTGGTGCGGCAGCAACGAGCAAGCTGGAGAGCAGCAAGAGGTCTTCTGGCTGCTGCTGCTCGACACTTTGCATTTTCTGCAACGCAACGGCTGGCCCTGCCCTCCTTGCTGCAGCAAGGCCTACGGCAGCAGCAACCGCAGCAATAGCAGCAACAGCAGCAACAGATGTTCCTTTGAAGCCTGGCTATTGCTGCTGCAGCAGGGAGGCAGCAGCAGCTGGGACTGGGATTTGCGGCAACTAGTAAAGAGCTTTGTTGGGGAGTCGTCTGCAGCAGCAGCAGCAGATGGAGCTGCACCAAAGCCAAAGGCACATTTGCCTCCATCCTTGACTGTCCTGTCGAAGCTACAGCTGCAGCAGCTGCTGCTGCCGCTGCTACGCCTGCTTGCTGAAGCGAAATACCTGTCTCTCCCGCTCACTCTACCTTCAGGGCTCCAGCAGCAGCAGCAGCAGCAGAAGCAGCAGCGAAGTGCTTTCAAAAATACGGCTATCAGTGACCCCTGGGGGTTTGCGAACGACAGCTTTACCAGCAGCAGCACAATTGAATCGGTTGCAGCAGCAAACCAACAGCTGCAGCAGCAGCAAGATGTCTCGGCTCACTATGGGCGTCAGGATCCTACTGCGGCAGAAGACGCCGCCGCCGCTGCTGCTGCTGCTGCTCTGTCTCTGCTTCCGTCTCAATTCTTAGTGCTGCGGTGGCTGCTGCAATCTGTCGTCCTCTTCTCCTTTGCACCAATTGAAAGCAGCAGCAATTCGAAGCAGCAGCAGCAGCAGCAGGGACAGGCAAAGGAGCAGCAGGGGCTAGAAGGCACTGTGGCTGTTTTGGCGTTGTTGCACGAGTTTACAATCGGCAGCAGCAGCAGCAGCAGCAACAGCAGCAGCAGCACCACCTGCAGCAACAGCGGCAACTGCAGCAGCAGCACCAGGAGTATAATGGAGCAGCACGTGCAGCAGCTGCTGCCTCTTTGTGAGTTGCAGCAGATACATCGCCTGCTGCCTCTTGCTCTCTGTCTCTTCTCTCTGCACCAGATCGAAACAAAGTGTAGCAGCACGACTGCAAACAACACAGCAGCAACCTCTCGCATGCTGCAGGTGATTGATGCAGCTTCGCTGCTGCTCGCCTCCGACTGCCTCCTCGCCCTCCTACAACCGGTTAGCCACTTAACCCTAAACCCTAAACCCTAAACCCTTAGTAGTATGTCATTTTTCGAGTCCTTGCTCCGGGTCGTTCTTTCCGCAGGAGAACGAAAAAGCTCATTCAAATCCCTTGTTGCTACTGCCGTTTTTGCTGCTGTTGGTGTTCCTGCTGCTGCTGTGTGTGTGCTCCTTTAGGCGGTCCTCTCTTGGTTTGTGTGTCTTTGTGCCTGTCTCCTTTCCTCTGCTGCTGCTGCCGCTGCTCGCATTGGTGCTGCGCTGCTGCGGGTATTGCGGTGTCTCCGATTGCAATTGTCGGCTTCCTGTTGCTCGTGGGGACCCCCAGCAGCAGCAGCGGAGGTGTCGCTTCACCTCGTCACTGCCATCCTCCTGCCGCTTTCTCCTCAGGGTCAGCAGCAGCAGCAGCAAGAGCAGCAACAATAGCAGTAACCGAAGCAGCAAGCAAATGCAGCAGCAGTGGCAGCAGCAGCAGCTCAACTGCGCCGCCTTTCCAGCAAGCTTCCTAATGCAATCGAACATGTACTGCTCCTGCGTTTGTTTCGGCTGCTGCTGTTGCTTCTGTTGCTGTTGCTGCTGCTGCTGCTGCTGCAGACATTGCACATCCCTTGCTGCTGTGTGGGGTGGGAGGAGAGGCGGGAGGCGAGTTCGTTCGTTGTCTCGTTGCTTCGGGATCGGTCTCCGCGTGGCTGTTGCGCGCGCTGCTGCCGAGCAGCTCTGCGGACAATTCTGCTGCTGCTGTTTCTGGTGCTGCTGCTGTTCCTGCTGCAACTGAAGACCGTAAGCGTTTGCTAGGTTCTTTCTGGATGCTGTTGTTGCTAGTGCTTTTGCTGCCGCTGCTGCTGCTGCTGCTTGCCGTGTTGTACCCCCTTGTATCGTCGCGGCTTGTAGTCGTGTGCAGCGACAGCAACAGCAGCAGCAGCAGCCAGAGTGGCAGGTTCCACACGAATTGCACGCTAAGAGCAGCAGGGCCCGCAGCAGCAGATGCAGCAGCAGGCGCAGCAGCAGGTGCAGCCGCAAGTGTAGCAGCAGGCGCTGCAGCATGAGACCAGATGGGGTGCTTGTGGTGCCTGCTGCAGTACGGTGTCTTTGCAGCTCCGTTGCTGCTGAGTTTGCTGCTCTCGCCTGGCCCCACAGAGATCGTCTTGCTGCAGCAGCAGATGCGCTACTGCCTCCGCTGCTAGAGGCAATAGGAAACCCTCTGCTGCAGCAGCAGCTGCAACCCGACCCCGTATTGTGCTATGCACCGCGAGAGGCAGCAGCAGCAGCAGCTGCTGCTGCTGCTGTGCTGCAGCAGCAGCAACGCGACAGGCGGAGAAAAGGATGGCCAGAGGAGACAGACGAGGAGGCGACCGAGACACAAGCAGAGGTCTGAGGCCCTTCCCACTTACTGCTGCTGCTGCGTTTGCTGCTACGGTTGGCTGCTGCAGCGGCTACTGCTGCTGCTCCTGCTGCTGCAGTTGCTTGTGCAATTTTTGCTGCGATTGCTGCTGCTGCTGCTTGTCGCTGCTCTTTGTTGTTGCAGACACTGCTGCGACTAGGCCCGTCAGTTGTGCCTTTGCTGCTTGATTACTATTCTCCGCGCGACGTGCTCGGCGAGTTGGTGCCGGCACTGCAGCAGCAGCAGCAACAACAACAGCAACAGCAGCAGCAAGGATGTCCTGCTTTGGCTGCGTCGTTCGTTTGTTCGTATACTGCTGCAAAAGTAGCTGCACTTGCTGCTGCTCCTCTTGCATCCAAGCCCTTTACCCCATTCATTCTGTTCGAGTTGCTACAGCTAGCTGCTGCTCCGGGTCCTGCTGGTGTAGCTGCTGCTGCTGCTGATCCAGAAGGCGGTGCTGGCTCTGCTGCTGATGCTGCAGCAGCAGGGGCAGCACCAGCAACAAACGGCAGCTCGATCCCTCATTCTTTTGCTGCGTCTCCCTTGAGACCCTTCGTTGCCCGGGCATTGCAAAGAACAGCGGCAGCAAGCGGCAGCACGGTGCAGCAGCTGCTGCAGCAGCAACTCCATTCGCTGCTGCTGCTGCGGCTGCGTGGTGCCAGAGGCTCTGACGGCTCGCCGCTGAGCATTGGGCCTCCCCTACAGCTGCAGCAGCAACAGCAGCAGCAGCAACAGCAGGAGCAGCAACAGCTGGCCTGGCAGCTGCTGCTAGCAGGCGACGCGGAAGCTCTTGACCCACGGGCTGCTGCTGCTGTTTCCCCGTTCTCCTTATCAACAGCAACAGCAGCAGAAGCAGTTGCTGCTGCTTCTTCTGCCCAAGAAGCAGAGGTAGACGAGATGCCTCTGCCTCTGCGTTGCTTCGCAGCTCAAGTTGCAGCTGCTGCTGCTCCGCTGCTTGCTGATGGGTCTCACCTCCTCTTCCAAGGTACATCCAGCCAAGCTGCTGCTGCTACTGTTGCGTCTGCTGCTCCTTTTCGCGTTGCTGCTGTTGTTTCCGTTGCTGCTGATGTTTCAAGTCCTGGCTGCTGTTCGAAGAACTCGTACGTATTGCGCTGCTGCTCTCGTTGCTTTTGCTGCTGCTTTTGCGTCTCAGCGGGGTATATGAGCGGCGTGCCTGTGCATCTGCTGCTGCGTCTGGTTGCTGCTGCAACGAGGAGACAGTTGGGTAGCGAGAGGCTTGAAGAAATCGGGGCGACGCTGCTGGCCCTCACTTTAGGGGGAGACCTGCAGCAGCAGCAGCAACAGCTGCAGCTGCAGCAGCAAAGCTATCTGCAGCATATCCTCGACACTCCACTTCTATGCCGCACTTTCCTTAGGCCAAGGCAGCACCTAATTCTCCCTGCTGCTGCCAGGTAGCCGCTGTAGCTGCGTCTGCTGCTGCTGCTGTCTTCCAGTGCTCCGGCAACATACTGCTGCTGATGCTGGTGTTTTTCGCGGTGGCTGCTGCTGTTGATGCTGCTGCTGCAGCGTCATCGCTTGCTGCTGCCATGATCGATGGGCCAGCCAACGACAGCCCCACTTCAGCAGCACCAGCAGCAGCAACATCAGCAGCAGCAGCTAACTCTTCAATAATTGCGTTTGTGTTTGTTTGTCTTTCTTGATTGTTCCTGCAGTTTGTTTGCTTTGGAAGCTGCTGAGGGCCTGCCCTCTCCCCCTTCTCTCTCTGCACTTTGTACGGCGATGTGCAGCGGTGGGGTCGCCTTATTTCCTGCTGCTGCTGCTGCTGGGGATGCTGCTGCTGCGCCTGGTGCAGCAGCAGGGCATGCACACGGAGAGTTCGGGTCCTTCTTTCGCTCCAACCTGCTGCTGCTGCTGCAGGCGGTGGAGCGCCTCCTCTTCTCGCTGCCTCCTGCAGCATGCCGTAGCGAAGCTCAGGCGAAAACAGCAGCAGCAGCAGCAGCAACAGCTGCAACCGGAGATGAAGGGTTTGCGCATTGCTGCGGAGACTGCAGAGAAGAGCAACGCGCTGCAGCGGCAGAAGCGGCATTAGCAGCAGCTGCTGCTGCTGCACCTGCTGCAGTAGAAACTGCTAGGCTACTGGGGCTGCAGCAGCTGCTGCTGCCCCATGCTCCACCAGCAGTACTGGGGGATGAGGGTTGGAGTTTGCTGCTGCTGCAGCAGGAATTGTTGCTGCCTGCTGCAGCGGCAAATGCTGTCCCTTCAAGTGTCTCCGCACCTAGGAAGCGCGTGCTGCTTCTCGATGCTGTTGTTGCTGCCCTCCCCTTTGCCGCAGCAGATGCGGCTTCGCTGCTGCTGCTGCTGTCGTTTTGCTTCCGTTGCATTGCGCATTTCAGCAACAGCAGCAGCAGCCGCGGAATGCATATCTGTGCTCCGAGAGCTCAGCTTGCTTCTGTGGTAGAGGGCTGGGGAAGTTGCTCTGCAGCAGCAGCAGCAGCAAAACAAGCGGAAGCAGCGGGGCTGCTGCAGGCTGCTGCTGCTGCTACGCTTGCCGTTATACAAGCGGCAGAAGGAGGACTCCTGCTGCACGTGAGTCCACGAGCTATGTCCGCTGCTGTTGCAGCCTGATGGTGTTGCTGCTACCCCAAGCTAGTGCTGCTGCTGTTGCTGCTGCTGTTGCTGCTGCTGCTGCTGCAAGGGCGACTTGTGGCTGCTGCTAATTCATGCCGCAGCTGACAAATGATTGATCTCCTATGTGTGTTCTGGAGTTTCTACCCCCATCCGTTGTTGTTGTTGCTGCTGCTGCTGCTACTGCTGCTGGACGTGTGCAGACCCTTGTGTCTCCTTTTCCAGCTGGAGGTTGGGGTCCTGCTTCGCGCTGCTGCTGCCTCCTCGACTTTGTTGCTGACGCATTTGCTGCTGCTCATGCCGCACCGCAGCAGCTGCAGCAAGAAATTGCTGCTGCTTGCACGGCAACAAGCAGATCAGACAAGCAACCCAGCAGTAGCAACAGCATCAATTGCAGCAGCGTCAACTACAGCAGCTGCAGCAACGGGGTTAGCTACAACCACCTTCTGCCTGACGCTGCAGCAGATGCTGCAGCAGAGGCAGCAGCAGAACCCTGGCTGTGTGTCCTCCGGGCTTTGCTGTTGCGCTTGCGTGACATTTCCTTCAGTGCAGCAGCAGCAGCAGCAGCGAAGGCGGTGCCTCACTGGAGAACAGCAGCATTAGCAGCAACAACAGCAGCAGCAACTGCAACAGCAGCAGCAGAAGCAAACGCTGTGGCCTTCTCCTTGCCTAGCCATGGGGGCAACAAGAGACCCTTAGGTTTCTCTGAAGACGCTCATCGGACCTACAGCAGCAGCAGCAGCAGCACTACCAGTAGTAGTAGTAGCTGCTGCTTCTCCCTGGGGGTTGAGCGGCTGCTGCAGCACTTGGGCCCTGCTGCAGCTCGACTGTTGCTGCTTCGACCGGCTGTCTGCCCTGCAGCGCAGCAAACGCTTGACGCAGTTGTCGCTGCTTGGAGCAGGAGACCAGAGCAGCAGCAGCAGCAGCAAGAGCTGCTGCAGCGTCCTGCTAAGCGAACGGCAGGAGCTGCAGGGGTGCCGAAGCAACAAGAAACCGAGGGTGTACAAGGCGCAGCAGCAGCAGCTACAACAGCAGCAGCTGCTGCAGATAACACAGAAGCAAGAGTTGCGGCAGCAACAGCGGCGCTGCGGACCCTCACAGATCTGCTGCCATTTCGTTCGCCTACAGCGTTTAGCGCTGCTCTAGTTTCTAGGGGCCTTATCCCCTGTCACCAGCTGCAGCAGGAGGAGCAGCAGCAGCAGCAGCATGGCAGCTTCTGCTGCGCCGACTGCGTCGCACGACAGCAGGGGCAAAGCCTCCTCGTTGGCTTTGTGGATCCTGAGCTCGCGCTGCTGCTTCTGCAGCAGCAAGCAGCAGCAGCAGGCAAAGTACCTTCGCTGCTGCAGGCTGGATGGGGAAGCAGTAGCAGCAGCGCTCCGAGGGCTGCTGCCGCAGCAGCAGCAGCAGCAGCGCAGTTGCTGTTACAGTCCGAGCAATTTGCTGCAGGTGGTGAAGAACGGCAGAACCGCACCGCCTTCCTGTGCGCCTATAGAATATGCATGCCTCACCCTGGAGCAGCAGCAGCAGCAGCAGCAGGAGCACCAGAAGCAACAGCAGCGGCCACGACTGGAACAGTTGCTGCTTTTGATTCTTTCGCTGCAGCACAAGGGGCCTTCGCCAAGGACGTCCCGCTGCAGGCTTTCATGCTTTTGGGGGCGGCAGGAGAAGCAAACAGCAGCAGCAACGGCAGCAGCAGCAGGGCGTCTAGTTGGCGGCAGATGACGGTGGTGCTCTTGGAAGCTCTTGTGCGGCCGGAGCTTGAGGCCCTACGCACACACCTCAGGCACGCTGCTGCTGCCGCTGTCACTGCTGCTGTAGCTGCTGCTGCCGTCTCTGCTGCTGCTGCTGCTGCCGTCTCCGCCGCTGCTGCTGCCGCTTCCGCTTCTGCTGCTGTATTTGCTGCAGCGCTTGCGCTGTTTTTGCTGCTGCAGCGGGAAGGCAGGGGAATGTTGGCTGTTTGGAGGTGCTGCTGCTGTGAGTTTGCTGTTGCAAGAAAGCGAGAAACCTGCAGCAGAAGAAACGGAGCGCCGCTGCAGCCGCCTGCAACGCAAGGCATCGCAAACTGCAGCTCGCAGCAGCAGCACCAGCGGCAGGCAGCAGCAGCAGCAAATCGATCCAGATCGTGCTATTGGAGGTACTTCGGCCCACGGACCCACTGCTGTTTGTGCTGCTGCTGCTGCGAGTTGCTGCTGCCGCTGCTAGAGGTTGCTGCTGCTGCTGCTAAAGGTTGCTGCTGCTGCTGCTAGAGGTTGCTGCTGCAGCTGGCTCTCGCTGCTGTTCGTATGCTGCTGCTGCTGCCACTGCTGCTGCTGAGTGTGGGTGCCGCTGCTTTCTTGGGGTCTATGTGCAGCAACAGTGGTATTTGCGGCGGCCTCCGCGTTGCTGCTGCCTGCTGCTGCTGCTCCTAAGCAGCAGCTCGCGCGTTTATGCCTTGAGACGCTGCAGCTGGTTGCGGGATGGCCTTCTGAAGGAAATGCTGCTGCTGGTGCTGCTGCTGCTGGCGCTGCTGCTGCGAGGAGATACCCTGGGGATCCGTGTGGAGCAGCAGCAGCAGCAGCAAAAGCGCTGGCTACTGCAACGGCTTTGGGGAATCAGCAGCCTTTGCTGCGTCGTCCACTTGCAGTGTCTCTCCACCTCGCCTCCCCTAAACGGCCATCTGCAGCAATATATAAGATGTGAGCTGCTGCTGCTTCTGTTGTTGCTGCTGCTGCTACACTGGCTGCTGATACGGTTCCTGCCGCACATATTGATTGAAAAAGAAACGGCAGCAGCAGCAAGAACAATAATAACAGCAACACCAGCAGCAGCAACCTGATATTTGCGGTGTATGCTCAGATTGCTCCTGCGGCTGCGGCGCTGCATTCGTTGCTATGCAGCAGCAGATGCGTGGAAGCAGCACATTTGGCAGGTTGAGGCAGCAGCAGCAACCGCATCAGCAGCAGCAGCAGCAGCAAACAGGTGGTTTTGTAGGGTTGCTGCGGCTCTGATGATCTACATTGGAGACACTAAGGCGGAAGCTGCTGCTACGGCTGCTGCTGCTGCTGGTTGTGCTGCTGGCCCCGCATCTTTGCAGCAGCGGCAGCAAACAGCAGAAGAGGAGGTGCGGCGACGACCACGCTCGCTGCTAGGCTGCTGTTGCTGCTACTGAATCTGCTGTTGCATTTGGTGCTGCTTTGGCTGTTGCTGCATGCGGTGCTGCTGCGCTGGATGCTGCTATATTTGATGCTGCTGCTGCATGTGCTGCTGCTGCACGTGCTGCTGCTGCTGATAGGCTGCTATTGCTGCTGCACCTGCTGCATGGGCTGCTGTTGCTGCTGCTGCTCATGCTGCTCCTGCATACAGAGTTCAGCGCCTTCGCTGCCGCAGGACGCGGATACGCTGCCGCAGCAAAAAAGGCAGCAGCAGCAGCAGCAGCAGCAGCAGGCGTTGGGTTTGTTTGAAGTTGCTGCCCCTCTGGTATTGACGAGCCCGGCGCTCGCGCGTCAGCTGCTGCCGCTGCTGCTGCTTGCGGTGCTGCGTTGCGGCAGCGAGACTGCAGCAGCAGCACTTGCTGCTGCATTAAATAAGCATGTCTTTATGGCTTTTAGAGAGCAGCTACCGCAGCAGGAGCAGTATCATCAGCACCAGCAGCAGCAGCGGGAGGTGCCCGTCGCTCACCGCTCGGTTGCTGCTGTTTGTCTGCGCGCCATAGAATTTCTGTTTGGGCTTCCTGCAGCAACAGCAGCAACAACGGCAGCAGCAGCAGCAGCAGCAACAGCAGGCGCAAGGACTGCAGGTGCCCAGGCGGGAGACGCTTTACCTTCTTCTGCTTCTTCACAGCGGCAAACACCGCAGCAGCAGCAGCAGCAGCAACAGCAACAGCAGCAGCGAGGACTGGTAGCCTTCTGGCAACAGCTAGATTCGGAAGCAGCAGCAGCAGCAGCTTTGTCTCTTGGAGGAGCTGCTGCTGCTGTGCTGTTTTCAGAGCAGCAAATTGTGAAACTGTACGGCGAGGTCGCAGCACCGCTGCAGCAGGGCTTGCAGGCTTTGGTTGCTGAGGCGCAGCAGCAGCAGCAGCAGCAACGGGGCCGTGTTGCTGCTGCACTGCTGCCGGCAGCGCCTCCTCCCCTGCTGCTGCTGCTCGTACGGGCGCATGCAGCCGCACGAGCAGCAGATGCAGCAGCAGCACACCGTTGTTTAGAAGGCTGGCATAACTCTGCTGTGCTGCTAGAGAGGGCGTGGGCTTGCGGTGCCTCGCTTGAGGTGCTGTCTCTCTTCAACGTGCAGCAAACAGCGGCTGCTGCTGCTGCTGCACCTGCTGCTGCTGCTGCTGATGCAGTTCCTGAAGCCCTCGAAAGGCTGGGGCTGCATGCGCTGCTGGACGCCTACCTTGGCAACTCCTGGGGGCCGCCACGGGGCGCAGCAGCAACAGCAGCAACAACAGCAGCAGCAGGCATGGGCTTCCTGTCTGAAGACTCTACTGCTGCGGAGGCAGCAGAAGCTGCAACTGCTGCTGCTGCTGCAGATTGGCTGCAGCGCAAAGCCTCGTGTCTATGGCGGCTGCGGCGGTGGACAAGTACCTTTGGAGCAGCAGCAGCAGAAGGAGCAGCAGGAACGGCAGCTGCAGCAGCAGCCGCAGCAACGCCTGCTTCCTTCCTTACAGACGCCATTGCCGTCAGTAGCAGCAGCAGCAGCAGCAGCAAAGCTCAAGGTGCTGCTTGTCTCTCTACCGCTCTTTCGCTTCAGCACGCAGCTCAGCGCATGCACGACTGCGGGGCCGTTCGGGTTTGTGCTGCTCTGCAGCAAGCTGCAGGAGCAGCAGCAGACAACGCCTTTGCTGCTGCCCTACAGCAGCTGCAGCAGCAGCAGCTGGCGCCCTCAAAAGAATCTGCTGCTGCAGCAATCCAGTGCCTCGTTCAGATTCGAATGGCAGCATCTGCTGCCTGTACTATTGCTGTTGATATACCCCGTACGACCTCTTGCTGCTGCTGCTGCTTGCGTTGCTGCTGTTGATGGTATTGATGCTGTTGCTGTTGTTGCTTGTGTTGCTGTTGCTGCTGATGTTGTTGTTGCTGCTGGTGTTGCTGCTGGTGCTGCTGCCGGAGTGTGCTCAGCATATGCTGCTGCTTCGAGGTGGTGCCTTCCTTGCTGCTTGCGTTGTTGCTGCTGCTCTTGCTGGTTCAGGTCGCCTTGCGTTGCTGCAGTATGAGTGGCAGCGCGAGTTAGCAGCAGCAGCAGCAGCAGCAGCAGTTGCTTCTCCGCAGCAGAAGGCGTTTCGTGAGACAATTGAGCCCTTGGGGGCCCTGCAGGTTGCAGCGCTTGCTGCTTCGCTACCTGGGCCGTTTGCTGCTGCTGCTGCGGGTGCTGCTGGTGCAGCGGGTGCTGCACTCCCCTCCGCAGCAGCAGCAGCATCAGCAGTAGAACAGGGCGCACTTGCTGCTGCTGCTGTTGCACGACACATGCGAGCTATTGGAAGCGCAGCAAGACAGTGTGGGGCCTTGCTGCAGAGCCGGCACTGGTTGCTGCTTGCCGAAGAGACGCTGCAGCAGCACTTGTTGAAGCTGCAGCACCTGCAGCAGCACCTGCAGCAGCAGCAGCAGCAGCAGCAGCATTTGCTGCGGCAGCTGCACCCTCTGTTATGCTGCGATTTGTTTGTGATAGAGTGGGAGATAACCAAGACACTACATGCAGCAGGAGACAGCAACAGAGCTGTTCACCTCGCTCGCCGCCTCTGTCAATCTGCTGCTTGGCCCTTCTCTTTCAAGGAGCTCTTCGCAAACCCATTCAAACCCGCTGCTGCTGCTGCTTCTGCGGCAGGTCGAACGCCTGCTGCGGCTGCTGCTTCTGCTGCAGCAAGCAGAACACCTGCTGCTGCTGCTGCTGCGCACGGAGGCTTGGAGAATGTTTTTGGCTCTCCTGCACATGGGTTGTGCAGCACAGCAGCAGCTTTTCCTGTCCCTGCAGCAGTAGCAGCAGCAGGAGGGGGAGGAGAAGGAGCAGCAGCAGCTGCTGCTGCTGCATTTGCAGTGCGGCGGCGGGAGTTCCTGGAATCTCTTTGTGAATGTCTGTGCTGCTGCGGTGAATGGCTGTATAGAGGCAGGTTTATTGGAGAAGAAGAAGCAGCAAAAGGATTTCTAAATGTTGCTGCTGCTGTGGGGCCCCACTTATCTTCTGTTGAGGCGCATCAGCGACTCGCGCTGCTGCTGGATGAGGCACTGGCAGCAACGTCTTCTGAGCAGCAGGAGGATTTGCTGCAGCTGCAGCTGGAGCTGCAGCTGCAGCAACAGCAAACGCTAGAGGAGCAGCAGCAGCTGCGCGAGCAGCAGCAGCAGCAGCAGCGCAGGAGACAGCGTCTTGCTGCTGATGCTGCTGCTCTTTATGCATACTGCCTCCGAGACAGCCACTTGCAGCATGCAGCACACATCACAGGCCGTCTGCTGTCTCTTTGGTTTTCTTTTGGGGCAAGTGTCCCTCATATTAATCTCTCCATTAGACGAGCTCTTGCTGTTGCTGCTGCTCCTGCTGCTCCTGCTGCTCCTGCTGCTCCTGCTGCTACTGCTGCGTCAACGGCTCTCCAGCTGCGCTCAGCAGCAGACCTAAAACACCTGCTCCCGTTTGTCCCTCAAATTGTCTCCCGCCTGGCTGTCGAGACACCCCAGCAGCAACAGCAACAACAGCAGCAGCAACAGCAGCAGCAGCAACAACAGGGAGAAGCAGACTTTCAGCTGTCTGTGCGAGAGGTGCTTCTTGCCTTGGCGCGTCGGTCTCCTTTCTCTGTTCTGCTGCCGCTTATAGCCCTGGAGAAGAATGACAAGGTTCCTGCAGCGGCTGTTGGAGGCTCACAAAGAGAAGCAGGAGCAGCAGCAGCAGCGCCCAGCAGCAGCAATGCCAGGGCTGCAGGGCTTCTGCTGCAGCAAATGGCTACTGCACACCCAGCACTCGGTGGGGCCGTGCGAGCAGCAGCAGCTGTCGCCTCTCTATACGAGGATATATGCCTCATCAAGGAAACAGATCTGCTGCAGCAGCCCCAGAAACAGCAGCAGCAGCAGGTGGTGCAGCAGCAGCAGCAACCGCTACAACGCCGCGCTGGCCGGCGAGCAGCGGCAGGAGGCGTTGCCCTACCTGCATCTACAGCAGCAGCAGCAGCTGGTGCTGCTGCTGACTCGAAGAACACCTCTCCAGCAGCAGCAGCAGCAGCAGCAGCAGGAGGTCCAGTTGACTTAGTGCGGTATTTGCGAACCTTAAGATCGTACAAAGCAGCAGTATCAATGATTGCAAGCGGTGCTGCTGCGCTGCCGCTTCCGTCTGCTGCTGCTCGCATGGAGGCTGCTTGTCCTGTGCCCTTCCTGCAGCAGCAACCGCAGCAGCAGCAGCAGCAGCAGCAGCAGCAGGAGAGGGACTGGGCTGAGGAGCACTTGGAGTGCTTCTGTCTGGATGAAGAGGGAGAGCTCAATTTGTCTGTCTCCTTTCTCGGCAGCGGAGCTACTAAGCCGAAGCAAGTTGCTGCTGCAACACGAAAGGGGCTGTTGCTGCTGGAGGTGTGCAAAGAGGACGACTTAAGAAGAGACAGAGTAGCGCAGCAGCTATTTTCTGTGCTGAACCACGCATTTGCTGCTGCTGCGGCTGCTGCTGCTGCTCCTGCAGCAGCTGCCTTCTCCCTCACGGCCCCACAGGGGGGCGGAAGAGCAGCAGAACCTGCTGCAGCAGCTGCAGCAGCAGCAGCGGCAGCAGCAGGAGATCTGCGGCTTAGGACGTACGCTGTCGTCCCTCTGTCTCCTTTTTGTGGGGTTTTAGAATGGGTAGACGGCGCAATAACTCTGGGGGAGTATCTTGTTGGCTCGCCAGCAGCAGCAGCACCAGCAGCAGGAGACAGAGCAGCAGCAGCAGCAGCAGCAGCAGCACACAGAAGGTTCAGACCTCACGACTGGACCCCCCAATACTGCCGGAAGAAACTCGCCGACGCGCGAACAGCAGCAATGAAAGAAGCAGCCCGGCTGCAGCAGCAACAGCAGCAACAGCAGCAGCAGCAGGAGGTTGCTGCTTGCAAAGAGGAGCAGGGAGCAGCAGGAGGGGGCGGCGGTGGTTCAGGTGGTTTGCTGCAGCAGCGTTTATTCGAAGCATTTTCTGAGATATGTCATAACTTCAAGCCTGTCTTATCTTATTTTTTCTTGGAGGTGTCTTGCTGCTGCAGCTGCTGGCGTTCTAAGCGGCAGCAATACACATCATCGCTTGCTGCTGCTGCTCTTGCTGGGTTTGCTGTGGGGCTAGGAGACAGACACCTCAATAACTTGCTGATAGATTGCTGCAGTGGGGCGTTCATTCACTTAGATTTCGGTGTTCTTTTTGAGGCGGGATCGCTTCTCCCGATCCCAGAAGTCGTTCCGTTTAGACTTACAAGAGATATTGTAGATGGCTTAGGGGTTATAGGAGTAGAGGGGCAGTTTAAAGCTTGCTGCTGCGCTGCGCTGCTGCTGCTGCGAGCCAATGGAGCTCTCGTTGCTTCGGTGCTGCAAGTGTTGCTGCTAGATCCCCTCTACTCCTGGGTTAAACCACGAAAAACACACAAACTGCAGCAGCAGCAGCAGCAGCAACAGCAGCAGCAGCAGCAACAACAAATGTATCAGCAGCAAAGACACAGAGGTCAGCAGCGGCACGCACCCCACACTCGCAAACCCTAAACCCTAAACCCTAAACCCTCAACTCTAAATGCCCTACACGACTAACAACACCCGTAGATGCTCCCATTCGACCCTCCAGCTGGTGAACTAGCTACACAATCTAGGGTTTAGTGTTTAGGGTTTAGGGTTTAGGGTTTTAGGGTTTAGGGTGTGATATGATGCAGCAGACGTTCAAGGCGTCTCTACTCTGGAGGGCAACAAGATGGCCATGAAGGCGATTCTTAAGGTAAACCCTAAACCCTAAACCCTCAGAGCCGATGCACCTGCAGCTGCGAGTCAGGTGCAACCCAAGCCCTAAGCCCCAAACCCCAAACCCTAAACCCTGGTTAGGCGAGGTGCTAGCTTGAGCTGTTTGCGCTTTTTTATGCCCTTTGCGCTGGGCTGTTGATGGTTGATGGTTTAGGGTTTGGTTGCTGCTGCAGGTGCAAAGGAAGCTGCAGGGTTTTGATAGAGAAGGAGAAGCCCCTTTGTCTGTTGCTGCATACGTAGACCGTCTCCTTAACACTGCACAAAACCCTCACAACTTATGCCGCCTATTTGCTGGATGGATGCCCTTCGCCTAGCTAGCTAGCCAGCTAGCTAGATGGCTAGCTAGCTCTCCGGTTAGCTGGCTTTATATTTTGTTAGCTAGCCAGCTAGGCTTTTTAACTAGCTAGCTAACTAGCTCGCTGTCTGACTGGCTAGTTGGCTTCATAGCTATCTGGGTAGGTAGGTAGTTAGCTAGCTAGCTGCAGAGCTAAGCTAGCTAGCTACCTACCTACCTATATGCTTCGCGTCAACAATACAGCCAGGCAGATGAATGAAGTTCTCTTCACTTCTTCATTACTGGCTAGTGATGTGCTAGCTAGTTGGCTAGCTAGCTAGCCGCGCGATATACTGCATCAGGCCAAGAGGCCTGGGCAGGGGCTGGTAAGCCCAGCAGCAACCGTTGCTGCTGCTGCTTCGAGTTGAATGTTTCTCGCTAGCGAATGGAGTCCCCGGTATAGGAGAG